TAAGCTATACCAGATGGAATAGCAGGCAAGCAAGGAAAACCAGCAAACTGGCAGCACTCAGAGCCTCTTAAATACCCACCAACCTCCCTCAATCGCCATTGCTTCAAAGAGCGTGAAAAGTTTTTTCCAGCTAATCCAAACACCTATGCGGTCGGCCATACCTTCCTTGCATAAAGTCTGCAAGCTAAAAAAAACCTTATCGAACGGCCTGGCCATCGGGTTTCTTTTCCCTTTCCGCCCGTTTGCGAAGTTTCACCCGAGGGGCGCTCTGTCCAGGCTGGAGCCTCCAGCGGGCGTATGAGGTAGGGATAACGGCCCATCCTGCCTAGCCCAGCCCAGCATCGCCCAGCCCAGCATCGCCCAGCCCAGCCCAGCCTAGCCTGGCACCGCCTAGCCCCTCCACCAGTGGAGGGAGCACACACGACGACAGCTGGTTAGGAAGAAAAAAAACGTCTCCCCATGAGGAAAGACTCAGCGTACTCGTCGGTGGGCGGAGGGACGCTGGACGGGATTTTGCAGCTGGGACTGTGCAGGGGAGGGCTGCAACTGGCGAGCGTAACTAGTGAAGTTCGCTTCAAGCTACGCTGGGGAGGAAAGAGGTTGGTGTTGTAGCTCCACGCATGTGAGAGGCAAGGGCTTGTTTAATGAGTCACAGAGGACATTGCTGGTGGCTAAAAATAGGCGTGGTGTGTTCCTGGTAGCACCTCGTGCTTCCGCTAATGAGTTGACGGTTGTGGCTGCAAATGTGCTACAGAGGCAGATGAGCGTTGCAGAACACGCAATGGTGGGCACGCTGGTGGAAAAGGGATAAACTAGGAGGATTTGAAAGAGCTGAGGGCGCTGACTATGAAGATAAGGACCACTAACCACGACACAATGGTCCATCTCTTGTTCTGGGCATCGAGAAGTGCGATCTACAGCTCATATTCCGGTGGGAAAAAGGGTTTGTCGGTGCATATCGTCAACGGTGTGGATCTGCGGCTGATGCTTAAGCATTTCTCCACGGTAATATTCCATCTCAGCTCGGTGGACGCTAGCGGAACAGGCATTATTGTTGAGGTTCTCTGCAAGCATGCTTCTGTTTCTTGTGAGGTCCAGGAAGAACCGTGCTGGGCTGAACAAGCTCCAAACAAATGCCGTTGTGCCTCCAAGGACCATCGCAGCTGCAGTAGCAGCTGCAAGTGCAGGATTACGTGCTGGAGAGTGAAGAAACGGCGATCTGCCATGCCAAATCAAAGCCTATAGCGAACCAAACCATCCAAGCTGGAGCCATCCGACCAGCAGAGCCCACCACTGCCCCAGAATGCTGAGATCTTTTTACAGAATTGAAAGCGCAGGCGTGAACATCCCTAACGTTGTTACAGCCTCGACGAAGTTGAATAGACATCCCAAGTTGATGCCAATCCTGTTGAAATTCGTCGCCAGAACTGGGAATTACACAAGCGAGGTATCTACCGGTGATTGCTGCATTAACAGCAGTTTGAGACGACATCTCTCAGCCTGGTGTACTTCTCATATGCATCACAGAAGATCAAACTAGAAGATGAAACCAATTCCCCGGAAAATGAAGAGGTGGCACTCATGAAGACCAGTAATGATAACACAGCTGAGCCTACTTGAGCCAAGAGGTACTGTACTGAAGCGACAGATTCTAGACCGGCTTTGAGGTCCTTATCTGGTAATAGTGGTGTTCCAGGGTTCATATACAGTGCTCTTGTCGCGAGTCATAAGTTTATAGCTTATACTGAAACGAATAATCAACCAACAAACTGCAGTAAAGCACAGGGATGAGCTCGACATCTCTCTGGAGGCAAGTGCACGGGAGTAATAAGCCTTGTTGAAGTTAACTCAACAGAAACAGGTAATCGCTGATGGCACTGAAAACACAACTCTTCTAAAAGACTAAAAGGTCAAATAAGATCCACAATATTTCCTATCAATTGGACATACTTCTGCAAGTTCTGTTAACAGCTCACACATTCTAACCAACAGAGCGAGTGACAGCATTATCACCGGCATAGATGAAATAGATAAATCCCATCGGAAGGATTAGCAGAATGAATATGGATAGCATCAGCCATGGAACTTGTCCTTATTCCACCAAAGAAAAAACGTATATAGCGCATTCAAAGTAAACTAGCCATAATGACGCATAAAAGCTGCCTACTGCAACTACAACTGCAACAGATGATGCGTCTAGCAAGCTAATAGCAGAAGCAACCGAGTTACATACGAAGGAATATCGTATGAGTGCCGATTGGCCGGCTGTTCCATGCCTGGAATAACCCATCTTTGGGAATGTAGTG